AACCAGGAAGGCACGCAGTAGGTCAGAGGGATCTTCCAGTACAAGGCAGCACTCCATTGCAAGGAAAGTAACAGATCTCCCTGGTTTAGCAGAGTCAAGATAGTCCCGACAACTAGGGCTGCTATCGCGGATCTCTTCAGCATGGGCAAGTGCAAGAGGGAACAGGAGAGGCACTTTATTGTTGGGGCAGGCCCCGAGGCATTTGCCCCGAGGGGTTTTGCGGCCCTTGCACTAAAAGAAAATGACAAAGAGCCATTCAATTCTTTGCAGCATCTTTGGCATGTGTCCAACGCTTGTCCCCGAACTTCCAAAGGGTCCCCCTAAAGACTTGCTTGCGCGTAAAGCCGTCCTCGCTGCCCACAATAGAAACACTATAAGAGAGTGACAGCTAACCCTCTACTATTCCCAAAAACTGAAGGCGCAACCTTCCCACATGGATGTTGCGCCTTCACAGAACCTGCTGACCGATTACCGCTTCACACGATTTAAGCCTGCCTAAAAGGCAGTTAGTTCGTTTCAGTAGAAACCAACGAAGGTTTCCCCCGCGTACCAGCCATTTAGCCGGACTTGCCGATACGAAATACCTTGGTGCCACATTCAGGGCAAGTGCCATGTGTGGCAGGTCGCCCGTTTTTCAGGGTTACCTCTTCGGGGTTGTTGATCTCCCGCTTGCTGCGGCACTTGAAGCAATAAGCCTCCATCCTCCTCTTCCTCCATTCTTTATTTGGTATACCCAAAGCGAAGTTGGTATCCGGTCCGTTCCCTGTCGCCCTTTTTGGCATTGCGAGTCGGACAATTGTGAAGCAGTCGGCCTAGCCCCTCTATTAGAAATGCTAATCCCGAAAGGGAATAATACGATTGAGAAAGGAGCAAAAGTTTCTGCTAGATTATGTAATACAAAAAGGTAGGAGGGTTTGTCAAGGCGTATGTGGCCGCTATCTGAAATATTCGCCGAAATTGGCCCGTTTCAGGGTGAATCCGTGTCAAATACCATCTAGCAAATGGGACTTCAACTAGAAGCTGTTCATGACTGCTTATGCCAAGCTTAAGCTATCCGAGGCAAAGGGAGAGGGCTCAAGCCCCTGGAATACCTTGAAGGGTTGCCAGGCATTTCCTGCCCGATCGAACCGGGCAATTGCAAGCAACCTGCCATCTTCGGCATAGACTCGGACCTGCTCCAAGTAACCGGCCTCGAAAGGTAGTCCGCCTGCCGCAACACTCTGGCCGTTGCCCAGGGCTCTTTCTATGAACCCGCTCACGGTAATGGCCCTCAGGGAACGAAGAACTTGGTCTATGGGGTGCAAATAGGATAACCAGCCAGCGTTTTCAGCGGATTCCTCGGCGGCAATTGCCAGTCCCTCAGGAGTAACACCTTCAGTGGATTCGAATCCGGCACAAGACTGACGCTCCAAGTCAGTTACGTAACCGCCGCATCCCAAGGCAAGCCCCAAGTCGTGGGCCAGGGTCCTCATATAGACTCCGCGCCCACACTCCACGTCGACCGTTATGCTGGGGAGGTTAAAGTCCAATAGGCGAATGTCAAATATGTCGACGATCCGAGGCTCCCTTTCTACTTCAATGCCCCGCCGCGCCAGCTTGTAAAGTCTCTGTCCGGCCACCTTTACGGCGCTGAACATGGGAGGCTTTTGCTCTACGGAGCCAATGAAGGGCAGAAAGGCGGCTTCCAGGTCTTTCGGGGTAACATAATTAGGATCCCGAACTTCAGTGACATCGCCTTCCGCATCATAAGTTTGAGTTGTGGCTCCTAACCTGACTTGCATCCGATATTTCTTGACTCCATCGAACGCGTACTCCATCAATCTGGTAGCCTGCCCAAAGCATACCGGCAGTACACCCCTGGCCAGAGGATCCATGGTTCCGGCGTGTCCAACCTTCTTGCGCTGGCCTGTAATGCGCTTGACCTGGCGCAGAGCATCCATCGAGGTTATGCCTACGGGTTTGTACAAATTGAGGAAGCCGTTAACGGCGGATGCCGATTGGCGTGGTGTCATGGGCTGGCTCTGGAGCAACGTCAGCTAACCCCGGTGTGAGAATGACAGGGGACCCGAGTATGTGGGCAGGTATTCAGTGTCAGTTTGAGGCTGCGCATCGTCCTGAAAGCTGTCCATCATGCGCAGGAGTGTATCTGCGTCCTCAATACTTTCATCTAAAGAGAACTTGAGGAAAGGCACATACCGCAGCTTTGAGACGGTCTCGCAGGGACCGCCGGAGAAATGTGGCCGCTGACTTTATTCCATCCAGAGCCGCGCTCTTGGTGTCCTCGTCGCCCATTACACTCACGTACACATGGGCATTGCGCAGGTCGGAGGTTGTCTCGACTTGGATTATGCTGATAACCCCGCTCAGGCGGGGGTCTTTGATTTCTCTGGACAGCAGGACGCTTATTTCCTGGCAGCAATCCGTTGATTCGGTCGGCACGGCGGGACATACAATTCTCCAGGGCTCAAGGTTGGCTCAAAAGAAAGGATTTAGCTTAAGAGACTGTCTTAAGCGGGCAGCTAAAGTTCAAGTAGAAGATTTAGCGCTGGCTTCTTTCCTGTCGGTGAGCCTGAAGGATGTCTCCGATCTCGAAATCATAGTAGTCTTCGAGCAAAATACCGCAGTCCATGCCGTTGGTAACCTCGTTGGCTTCATCACGGAAGTGCCGGAGACTGGCGATATTAGTTTCCTCAAGGACTTCACCCTCTCGTAGCACCCTTATGGAAGCCCCTCTGGGTATTCTGCCGTCCACAACTCGGCAGCCGGCAATCTTTACACTCCGCCGAGAAGCGAATATTTCGCGGACTTCGGCCTGTCCGATGATAACGTCAGTGTATGCGGGTTCAAGCATACCGTGCAGAGCTAGTCTGATGTCATCAATCATCTGGTAAATGATGCCGTAATGGCGAATTTCCACACCCATTCGCTCGGCGACTCTCTCGACGCCTATCGCATTGCCAACTGAGAAGCCGACTATGATGGCGTCAGAAGCGCTTGCCAGAAGGATATCCGACTCGGTGACGTTCCCGCTGCCTGCGTGTAAAATTCGCACCCGTGCTTCGGCCTCAGTGAGCCGCTCGAGGGACTGCCGCACTGCCTCTACGCTGCCCTGGACATCCGCCTTTAATACGAGGTTCAACTCCTTAATGTCGCCGGCGTCAATCTGCTTGACGACTTCTTCCAACGTCAGGGCCCGCCCCTGAGATTGTTGACTGGCCTTGGCGCGTTCCCTTTCCTGAGCCAGAGCCCGAGCGGTTTTCTCATTGGGCATGACAGTCATGACGTCGCCCGCTTCGGGCAATGCACCAAAGCCTAGAAGTTCCGCCGGTGCCCCGGGGACGACTTCCTTGATTGTACTTCCTCGATCATTAGTGATGGCCTTGACCCGGCCCCACGATGTGCCGGCAACAACGTGGTCACCCACGCTCAAGGTGCCACTTTGCACTAACACGGTGGCCATGGGGCCCCTCTTGCGATCCAATTTGGCTTCAATTACCACGCCGCTGGCTGGCCTGTGGGGATTCGCCTTCAATTCCGATATTTCGGCAACTATCAGAAGGTTTTCCAACAGTTCATTTATGCCTTCTCCGGTACGCGCAGAAACTGGAACTGAAATGATGTCACCGCCCCAATCTTCAACCAGCAAATTGTGCTGGCTCAACTGGCGCTTTACCCGCTCTGGGTCCGCTCCCGGCAGGTCCATCTTGTTGATCGCTACAACTATAGGCACTTCCGCCGCACGGGCGTGGTCTATAGCCTCTTCGGTTTGCGGCATTATGCCATCGTCGGCAGCAACTACCAAGATTGCAATATCAGTTACTCGAGCTCCTCTGGACCGAATTGAGGTGAAAGCTTCGTGACCGGGAGTGTCCAGAAAGGTTATCTTCTGTCCCTCGTAATCGACCTGGTATGCGCCGATATGTTGGGTTATGCCGCCAATTTCCCGGTCGGCGACGTGGGCATTCCGAATGGAATCAAGCAGGCTTGTTTTTCCGTGGTCAACGTGCCCTAGAATGGTTACCACTGGTGGCCTGGCCTCGAGGCCATTTTGCTCTTCTGCATTGCCTGTTGCTCCAGCAGTTGAACTATTCAGTGCCCCGGTCTCTGCCACCTGTTCCGCTACTCGGGTACGAATGCCGTATGCTGCTGTTACCAGGGAAGCGACCTCGTGGTCGATCACCTGGTTCATAGACACCATGATCCCGTTACGCATCAATTGCTTGATAACATCTACAGGGCTTTGGTCCACCAGTTCTGAAAGGTGTTTCACTGTCAAAGTTTGCGGCAACACCAGTGTTCGGGAAGGGCCTCTACGGCCACTTCGCGTCTGTCCATCGGTAGTAGTCATTTCATCCCTCCACGGAAGTCGCCTTGTCCACCCGTTCCTGAAAATAATGCAAAAGTACTTCTCGGTCCTGTTGGTCGATGCCAACTTGCAAGCTCCGCTCCAAGCTTCCCTTGCGAATGCCGTTTTCCCAACACTGCGTATTGTTGCACAGATAAGCACCTCGGCCCGACGACTTTCCAGAGTCATCGGGGCTAACGGTGCCTTTTGGGGTACGTACGATGCGGGTCAAGTGACGTTTTGGTGCTCGCTGCCCGCAAGCGACGCACCGGCGTTCGGGAACGTGCCTGGCTTTAGCCAACTCCAGCCTCCTTCCCTGGCAAAGAGCAAGAATCGCTCAAAAGAGGAGGCTGATATTACCTGCCGCCGCCACGACGGGCTCCTCGGCCCGCGCCTCCACCGGTATTACGCCGCCGCCCGCCGCGCCCGCCGCCCCGACTTTCGCCGACTAGGTCTTCGGCGAAGCGAATCTTACCGGCATCAGGTGTAAGGATAGGTACTTCGGGCAAATCAGGAAAGAGTTCCTCTTCCTCGGCCTCTTCGTCGTCCTCTTCCATTACACCGTCAAGGGTGAAAGAAGCCAAAGCGTCAACACTCAGGCTGTCGCTATCCTCAGCGATTGCACCTTCGACTTCCTCTTCATCACGAATCAAAGCTTCCAGAAGAGCCTCTTCGTCAATAACTTCGACTTCTGCGATTGCAGTTGCATCTGACTCTTCAGCAACAGAAGGAGCTTCTTCCAAAGCGGATGCGGCAACAGTTTCCTGGCTAGTTTCAGCCGGATCTGTGTCGGCAATGATCGCTTCCGCCTCTGCGACAGCTTCCAAAGCTTCTGCTTCAGACTCTGCGGCAACTTCCGCGGCCGCGGCCGCAGCCTCAATTGCTGCTAGCCGACTTCTTTCCTCCAACTCCCGCTGGCGAGTCTCTTTAATTTCTTCCCATTCGGTCAGGCCTTTGATATCCAGACGCCATCCAACCAATCGAGCCGCGAGACGGGCATTCTGACCTTCTTTCCCTATGGCCAGGGACAGTTGCCTGTCAGGTACAACTACTATCGCGGTTTGCTCCGGTGCATCCAGTTCGACATGGACTACCTCGGACGGACTAACTGATTTAGCAATAAAGGCTCTGGGATCCGCCTCCCAGGGAACTACGTCAATTTTCTCACCCTGCAGTTCATTAACAATGCTCTGAATGCGATTGCCACGTAGGCCGATGCAGGCACCTACCGGGTCCACACCATCTTGTGTAGAATGAACGGCTACCTTGCTCCTGAATCCCGCATCCCTGGAAATGGCCTTGATTTCCACGGTGCCGTTATATACCTCGGGCACCTCAATTTCGAAGAGGCGCTTCAACATGTTCCGGTCGCTGCGGGACACCAGTATCTCGGGTCCCTTGGCGCCATTGCGCACGTCCAGAACAAAAACCTTTATCCGCTGTCCCTTCTTATATCTCTCCGTCGGGACCTGCTCGTCTGCGGGCATTACGGCTTGGGCGCGTCCCATGTCCAATACAATGCTGCGGTTAGGTTCCAGTTGTTCCACAATACCGGTAATAATATCCTGGCGATGCTGCAGGAACTCCTCGTACAGCAACTCCCTCTCCGCTTCCCGCAGACGCTGCAAAACCACCTGTTTGGCGGTCTGAGCGGCTATGCGGCTGGCGTTATGAGGAAGGGGTTCTGCCGCAGCGATCTCGTCACCAATCGCCGCGCTCCGCTTAAAGGCCATAGCATCCTGGAGGGATATTTCGCGGGATGTATCCTCTACATCTTCAACTACAGTCTTAAGAGCAAATACGCTCACGTCACCGGTATTTGGATTCAGGGTAACGGTGATGTTTTGCCCAGCTACTGGATTATCTTTCTTGAATGCAGATGCCAATGCTACTTCTATTGCCTGGAGCACCTGCTCCTTGGGCAAATGACGTTCGGCGGCCAACTGAGTCAGCGCTATCAAAAAGTCGCTCTTCACTGCCATTCTCCCAATTTGAAGCTGGATGAGGCTATCGCCAAACAGACTGTGTGCCAATTAACAAGAAAGCGGGTTAACCCCGCTACCTTTAAAAAGCACTGCCCTAGTATAACATTGACCCCAATTGCTTTCAACTTCGGGCCTGGTCCAGCCAGGGCAATCGCATTTTGAATTAGGAGCAAGGGAAATAGTAAGGTAAGGAAAGAGAAGAAGTGGTGGGAGGTGTTGTGAGGTGGAATTGGGCGAAGGGTTGAATCCTATAACGGAGCATTTTGGGGAGTTGGCGGATCCCAGGCGGATCCCAGAAGGGGATGTGCCAAGCTGCACGAGTTGCTGGACATCATCATGATAGCCTTGTGCGCCGTCCTCTGTGGAGCAGACAACTGGGTGGAGATCGAGGAGTTTGGCAAGGCCAAGCGGGAATGGTTTGACCGGTTTCTGAAGCTGCCCAACGGGATTCCCTCTCACGACACCTTTGGTCGGGTATTCGGCATGCTGGACCCGGAACAGTTTGCTGCCTGTTTCAGCCAGTGGGTGGCTTCGGTGAGCCAACTGGTCCAGGGAGAAGTGGTGGCCATTGATGGCAAGACCCTGCGAGGTTGCCATGACCGGAGCAATGGCCGAGGGGCCCTGCACCTGGTGAGTGCCTGGGCCACCGAGAACCGGATGGTATTGGGTCAGACCCCCACGGCAGCCCATTCCAACGAGATCACGGCGATTCCGGAACTGCTGCAACTGCTGGATTTACCGGGATGTCTGGTCACCATTGACGCCATGGGGTGTCAGAAGAACATCGCCCAGCAGATTGTGGACGGCGGGGCCGAGTACCTGCTGGCGGTGAAGGCCAACCAGGGAGAACTGCACCAGAACATCAAGGACGTATTTGCGTGCTGGGAGCGGGAAGGCTTCGACCAAGTGGCCCATAGCTTCCAGGAACAGGTGGGTCGGGACCATGGTCGTGGAGAGCGGCGGCGCTGCTGGGTGATTACTGACCCCGAAGAACTGGCCTATGTGGACCCCACTGGACAGTGGGCCAAGCTGAGCGGAGTGGCGAGGATCAGCTATCGTAGAGAATACTGTAAAGAATCTGACGGGAAAGAATCTGACGGGAAGGCACCGGAGGAAGCAGCAGACGAAGTCCGCTACTACACCTGCAGCCACCCAACCTAGGCGGCCTCTTTGCTGAGGGCCACCCGAGACCACTGGGGCATAGAGAACGGCCTGCACTGGGTGCTGGACATGGCCTTTGACCAGGACCACAGCCGGGTCAGATCAGGCCATGCCGACCAGAACCTGGCCGTGCTACGCCGTTTAGCTTTGAATCTGCTGCAACAGCAACAGACCGCTAAAGTCGGGATCAAAGCCAAGCGCAAAAAGGCTGGCTGGGACTATGAATATCTCATTAGGGTCCTATCCCAGTAAAATGCGATTGCCCTGCCTAGTCCAGCATAGCCCCCAGACCTCGCCGTCGCTGCGGTTAGTTTATTTCTGTCTGTGGGGCAGTAAGACCAGAGTTGCTCTCATTAAAACAAAACAGGTGCGGGATACCTATCCGCACCTGTTTATCAGCCTTATTCGTGCTATTTCGTCGCCCAAGTAAACCGTCAGACCTCGATACAGCTTCGTGGTTTGTGAGGCCGTAGGGGCTTACCACCAAATCTTGCCTTGCACATCCTGCTCCAGTTGGTCATAGTCCTTGGTCCAGAGGCTGGTGCTGAGGTATTTCCATCCGCCGTCGGCCAAGAGGCACACGACATTACCGCTTTCCATGCGCTCTGCCTGGCGGATGGCGCCGTGCACTACTGACCCTGACGAAACACCGGCGAATATCCCTTCCTTATGCAACAACTCCTTGGTGGTCCGGAATGCTGGAAAACTTCCAACCAGTAGCCTGGCATCCAGCATGTTGATATCCAAAATCGGGGGTATATACCCATCTTCCAGGCGTCGCAATCCCGAAATGAAGTCGTCAGGTTCGGGGGCTACGGCGACGATTCTCACGTCGGGATTGTGTTCCCGCAGGCTGCGTGCCACGCCCATAAGGGTGCCGCCGGTTCCAAGGCCGGCCACGAAAGTATCTACGTCAGGAACAGCTTCCATTATTTCCGGCCCGGTGGTTTCATAGTGGGCGTCCGGGTTCCCACTATTTCCGTACTGGTACATCATCAAGTAATCGTGCGGGTTCTTAGCTGCCAGATCCTGGGCAACTTCTATGGACCCGTTGCTTCCCTTCTCCCCGTCAGAAAAAATGATCTGGGCGCCATAAGCATGGAGCAGTTGGCTTCGTTCTTCGCTGACATTCTCGGGCATGACCACCGTAACTTTGTATCCCTTTAGCATTCCGATCATGGCCAGAGAAATGCCGGTGTTCCCACTGGTAGGCTCAAGGATAGTCCGGTTAGAAGAGACTTCACCGTTCGCCTCAGCCCGCTCAATCATGTTCAGGGCAATGCGATCTTTGACACTTCCTGTGGGGTTCTGCCCCTCCAGCTTGGCAAATATACACACTTCAGGCTTGGGACTAAGCCTTTGCAACTCCACCATTGGCGTGTTGCCAATGGTGGCCAAAATACCCTTGTATGCCCGCCGACAACCCATAATTTTCGCTTAAACCTGCCTATATCGCCACGTTCGGGTTGTTATCTCTCCGCCCTAGTTGTCGGCAACGCCGGCCACTTCCGGGGCAGCCACACCACAGAATATCTCGTAATCTATCAATTCTGTGACAGTCGGGTTGTCACCGCAGAGCGGGCACGCTGGATTCCGCTTCAATTTGACCTCACGGAACGTCATGCTCAATGCGTCAATCAGTAGCAGCCTGGAGCACAGGCTTTCACCGATGCCCAAAAAGTATTTGAGCGCCTCGGTTGCCTGGATGCTTCCCACCAGTCCGGTAAGCGCGCCCAACACGCCGGCCTCGGCACAGTTTGGAACCATACCTGGCGGGGGCGGCGATGGGAAGAGGCAACGGTAGCAGCCCTGACCGGGCAGGAACACCGTAGACTGGCCGTCAAAGATGAGTATGCTTCCATCGACCAACGCCTTGTTCAGTAAATAGCAGGCATCGTTAACCAGATACCTGGTGGCAAAATTGTCCGCGCCATTAATCACCAGGTCGTATTGGCTGATGATCTCCATGGCGTTGTCGGACTCAAGCCGTACTTCGTGGGGAACCACAGTCACGTCAGGATTGTAGGCGTGGATGTTGTCGATGGCCGACTGAAGCTTGGGCCGACCAATATCGCTGGAGTGGTGAAGGATCTGACGTTGCAGATTCGATATTTCCACGACGTCGAAGTCCACAATGCCTACCGTTCCCACTCCGGCCAGTGCCAGATAAATAGCCGAAGGGGAACCCAGTCCACCGGCTCCCACTATCAAGGCCTTCGATTGCATCAATTTGCGTTGTCCCGCACTGCCGACGTCTCCCATTATGATGTGCCGGCTATAGCGCTTGACTTGTTCGGGCGTCAGGGCGAGAGGTTGTTGAGTCATAAGGACTTGTTCCTCCTATTGTTGCGATATGGCAACTGTTGTACTGGGTCACCAACCTAGTATGAGTCTGCCATTTTGTCCCGTAATTTCATATACTTGTCGAGTAAAGGTATTCTCTTGCATGCAGGCGAAGAAAAAGCCCGCACCCACTATGGGTCGCCCACTTTGGGCGGGTGCAGGCTCCTGTTGCTGTTGAAAGCCTACCCCCTATGTAAGGGGACAAGTGCAATTCTGATTCTGTTCTAACTCGTGCTCGTTCATCGTCTAGCTAGAGACTAGCTTTGGGACAATGGGTTGTCAAGCAAGCTTGATCCTTCGAAAGTACAGGTGCCGCCATAGTGTGGGCGATAGGCTCTTGAAACCTTTTCAGCTTGCCCCTCAAGACTATACGCCCTGTGCGGAGAGGTACTCCTGGCGCCTGGCCAGATGTTCAAGGGTAATGTTGGCCAACACACTTTCAATCGCTTCTTCAACGGACTTCCAAATTTCCTGCTGGGCGCAAGAATCTGCAAAAATACAGTCCGAAACATAAGTCAGGCAGTCCAGTGGAGAACTGTTGCCGTCCAGCGTAGTCATTATCATGTGTAAGTTTATGTCGGACGGATCCATTGCTAATGAATGGCCACCCTGGGGGCCGCGACGACTCTGAACGTACCCGCAGTGGTTCAGAGTGGACATAAGCTGAACCAGGTAGGACTCGGGAATCCCCTGCTTGGAAGCGATTTCAGAGGTCGGCACCGGACCATTGCCGTGGTGCATTGCCAACTCTACCAGGGCCCGGACGCCATAGTCAACTTTCATCGGGATTTTCATGACGTTTACCTCCAAACCGCAACAACACAACAAATTATAGCACCAACTAGTACAACGGGGAAGGGAAAATCTTGCATCACAAACTGCGATGGCTGTGCTAAAATCAGCCCCGCTAACTGAGAGATGATAACCCCGAGGTTGAAATGCTAGTGGGAGTTCTGGTCGGGCTGGCCATTATCGTAGGGTGTTTCCTGATACCTATTGCCCACTTCGTTCTGGCTCCTGCCGGACCCTTCTTCGCCGGCTATTGGGGTATTCAGTACGCCCCCAATCCGGGACGGCATTACGCGTTGCACGGACTGATTTTTGGTTCGCTCCTGGGGCTCGCAATGGCGATGATTCTGGTGACAATGGCGTTTACGGTCACTGCTCTGTTTGAAGACTCTCGGGTTAAGGTACTGGCTTGGCTTGGAGCCGGTATATTCACTCTCTACACGGGTAGCATGAGCACTATGGGGGCGATGTATTCTGCGCTTAGGGAACAACAACGTGCCCAGGTTGAAGCTGAAAGAGAAGCGCAAGAGACCATTTAGTGCCCGTCCGAGTTTGGGCCGAAAAAAATTGGTGACTGGAGCTATTTCTGTAATGCAGGAGTAGATTGGCAGGAGTGGCGAGAGCAAACTTATGATGTCGTTTTCCGCGATGCTGGTAGACCTGGATGGGACCCTGATGGTCACGGACACTATTTCGCCGAGAGTCGCTAAGGCCGTCGGTGAAGTTTCCCAGTATATTCCGGTGTCTATAGCTACTGGTCGCAGATCCTCGGACCTCATCGAATACGCTCGGCAACTCAATCTCTCGGCGCCCCAGATCTGCAACGGAGGCGCCACTCTGTTGGATCCTGTTAGTGGGACGCTGATCTGGAACAGCCATCTTCCTCAAGTTCAGGCCCGAAACATAATTGATCTGGTATCGGAACAGGGAATTGAGTTCATTGCCACCCATCCTGAAGGTGACTCCACCAGCAGGGATCAGATCCGGCATTGGGACCTTACTAGGATATCTGCCTTGGATATTTCTGCATCCGACGCTGATGAACTGGTCTCAACGTTTTCTGTTGAACCTGATCTCAACGTCGTCAAAGTCTATCTGCACTACAATGGTTGGTGGGCTGTGGACTTCACGGCGGCTGGCGTTCACAAGGGAAAAGCTGCACAGCAGCTTGCCAGCATTCTTTCCACTGAGCCTAGGTGCTTCATCGCCGCTGGGGACAGCTTTAACGACTTGCCCATGCTTGAAGTCGCCGGTTATCGAATCGCAATGGCCTCCGCACCGCCTGAAATGAAATCGTTGGCTGATTATGTGGCGCCTCCGGTGGAAGAAGACGGTCTGGCGATTGCTATTGAGGAAGCAATCCTCCCTAAGCTCGTTGCCCAAAGCTCCTAACGGCCGTCGGTCAGTACGCCGAGATTCACTGGCCTACTCTCCTTGACGCTTTTTAAATGCGCCGCCTATCATTGCCCAGAATCCTTTCTCATTTTAGGTAGGAATTCTTAGTCACATGACAACTTCTGAATTGCGCCGACGCCTTGAGGAGCTAAGGAGAGGCGACCTCAGCGTTGATGACCTGCTGAAATACCTGCGGGATTATCCCTATGAAGATCTTGATTTCGCCAAGATCGATCATCACCGTCCGCTGCGAACCGGATTCCCGGAAGTGGTGCTTGGGCGTGGTAAGTCACCACAACAAATAGCCAGTATTGTCCAGTCCCTGGCCGGCCGGGGATCTCCGGTTCTGGTCACCAAGGCCGATCAAGAATCCTTTAATGCAGTAGCCGGTGTGATGCCAGCGGCCATCTACCATAGTCTGGCAGGAGCCATAGAGGTTCCTGGAGAAAACCCGTTGACAGTGCGCGAAGGTGTAACGGTAGTTACGGGGGGAACAGCCGACTTGCCGGTTGCCGAAGAAGCAGCGTTGACGGCAAGATTGATGGGTAGTCCTCCCGAGAGAATCAACGATGTGGGTGTCGCGGGGTTGCATCGGCTTCTTGCTTCAATGGACCGATTGCGCGAAGCACGGGTAATAGTAGTGGTGGCTGGCATGGAGGCAGCATTGGCCAGCGTGGTTGCGGGCCTGGTATCAGCCCCTGTGGTAGCTGTACCAACCAGTGTGGGTTACGGGGCCAGTTATGAAGGTCTTTCAGCGTTGCTCGGCATGCTGAACAGTTGTGCTCCAGGGGTAGCTACGGTAAACATTGATAACGGATTTGGCGCCGGATACCTGGCAGCCCAAATAAACAAAATGGGCAAATAGCGTGGGCAATCGCGGCAAGAAGCTGCTTCTGATTTTTGCCTTAACCTGTCTCGTCTTTGCAGGGGTCGCCGGCTACGGTGACTTTCGAGAAGTCTGGAAACACCTGGTAGATTTTCCTTTGACGCATTTGGGTCTGGCCTTTGGGCTTGCACTATTCAACTATCTTTTGCGGTTTCTGCGTTGGGCCTACTACCTGAGGATTCTTAACCTAGTCGTGCCCTTTCACCTAAGTAGTCTTACCTTCCTGATTGGTCTGGCCATGACCATTACACCAGGGAAAGTGGGCGAATTGGTAAAGAGTTACACGCTTAGGGATCGGGCCGGTGTTGCAGTTTCCTCCTCGGCCCCCGTAGTGTTGATGGAGCGCTTGACCGACCTGGCTTCGGTTGCGCTCATGGGGCTAGTTGGCCTTGCTCTGGTGCCCACGTCTGTCTCAGTGGTTCTGGCGATTACCCTGGCAGGGGTGGGAGCCCTGGTTTACTTGCTTACTACAAGACATACTGATCGAGTTTTTGGCTGGCGCTTAATTCGGCGCTGGGTAGGCGAAATACGCGAGGCACAACAGGCTATCCGGGTGATGTCCCGACCGTGCCCGCTTCTTGTGGCTACTGTCCTGGCCTTTCTGGCGTGGGTAAGCGAAGGCATTGCCCTGTGGGTGATTCTGAAGGGCCTTGACGCAGATGTCGGTCTGCTCTTGTCCTTGCCCATTTATGCAGGCTCGGTACTTGTGGGTGCAGCCACGACACTGCCTGGCGGTTTGGTAGGAACCGAAGGCGCCATGGTAACTCTCCTTCAGCAGGCAGGCGCGGAACGAGACGTGGCTGCGGCAGGTACCCTGCTGGTACGCGTAGCGACTTTGTGGCTTGCCGTGGTCGTTGGGTTTGCGGCGTGGGCTTGCCTGCACTGGTTGGTACCAGCGAAGGGAGTCGACGCTGGCAATAAAACCTTGGCCGGCGGATCAGCCATTGAAACCGGTAGCGAGGGCCAAAGCAATGGGTAGCCCGTCGCGATTGCCCGGTGATGGGAACATCAACGATTCTTCCTTTAGCCCCTTCCCATTAGTCCGTGCGCTGCGCCCTCGGCAGTGGATAAAGAATGGCCTCGTATTTCTCCCCTTTCTTTTTGCAGTTAACCTGGCCTGGTCGCTTTCAGATCTAACTGCGGTGCCAGCCTTGCTCACAAAAGTGGCGGTAGCGGCGGCTGCGTTCTGTGCCCTGTCCGGTGCTGTTTATTTGTTTAACGACCTCCAGGACAAGGAGGCCGACCGCAATCATCCGGTAAAGCGATCACGGCCTCTGGCATCAGGTCAAGTAAGTGTCCCGGTCGCAATGTTTGCTCTTGGGGCGCTCCTGATAGCGGGGCTGGGCGTCTTGTTCGTGGTTCAGCCACTGTTGGGTGGAATCGGGCTGCTTTATCTGGTTATAAACCTGTCCTATTCGTTGGGGCTAAAGCGACTGGTGCTGGTGGATGTGCTGCTGGTAGCCAGTGGGTACGTTATCAGGACAGTCGTTGGAGCGCTGGTTATTGGGGTGGACCCTTCCCCCTGGCTCTACACAACAACCGGCGCTGCGGCACTCTTTATTGTTATTGGCCGGCGTTACGCCGAGGTGAGGCTGGCAGGTGAAGCTCCCGAGTCCCAAAGACCTGTCTTGCGAGACTACCCAACGGCATTCTTGGGTCAGCTTCTGAATATCTCTGCTGGCACTGCTCTGGTAAGTTATGCCCTTTACACAATAGAAGCAGCCAACTTGCCGGATAACGACGCGATGCTGCTGACAATTCCCTTGGTCGCATTCGGCCTGTTCCGGTTCCTTTACCTGGTTCACATCAGCGACGAAGCTGAGTACCCGGAACAGTTAATTGCCAGGGATTGGCCTATGGTATTATCGGTAGTAGCATGGCTGGCGACAGCCGGCGCAATACTGCTGCTTAACAGTAGCCCCTAGAGACGGGGAAATTCAGGCGGAGTAATCCAATGCAGGAATCCCGGCAATTGACAACGTTTCCAGGGACGGCAGACAGGACTGACGAATTTAAACCAAGTGGCCGCTCAGTTGTATCCGTGGTGGCTACGAGGCCTGAGACGGTATTGGAGGACGTAGGCAAGGCCATGTCCCTGGCAGGAGTGGAACGCGTCCTTTCGCCTGAATTGGCAACCCTTCTGAAAATAAACATCTCATGGCAGCATTGGTATCCGGGGTGCTCCACAACCCCTTGGCAATTGGAAGGTGTAATTCGAGCCCTGCATAACTTGGGACACCAGGAATTGATCGCCGCCCACAACGGTACGGTGGTGGTGGACTCTTTCGAGGGCGAGGAGAATAACAAGCACAAGTCAGTTCAGGATAAGTACAACTTGCCGACGGTCCATCTCGATACACCGCCGAATGTGTGGATTGATTACAAGCCGCGGGCGGAAATGCTGGTCCTGGACGATATTTTTCCTGAAGGCATCCAGATTCCCGAGATCTTCCCAGGCAAGAATATCATTCAGCTTCCTACCATGAAGACACATGTCTTCACTACGATGACCGGCGCCATGAAGAATGCCTTTGGCGGCCTGCTGCATCGCAAGCGGCATTGGACCCATTCGGTGATTCACGAGACGCTTGTGGACCTGCTTGCCATACAGCAGGAGATACACCCGGGCTTATTTGCCGTCATGGACGGGACTTTTGCCGGTGATGGCCCTGGCCCTCGCGCCATGCGCTGGCATATCAAGGATCGGTTCCTGGCTAGCTCGGATCAGGTGGCTATCGACGCCGTGGCCGCTCACATGATGGGGTTTGACCCGATGAGCCTGAAATTCATCCGACTGGCCCACGAGCGGGGACTCGGTTGTGGAGATCTGTCGCAAATTGACGTGGTGGGAGAGGACATTACTGGTGTCAACTGGGGATTTTCTGGCGTGGAAAATACCTTTGCCAGCCGCGGTCAGAAGCTGATTTACTGGGGCCCCTTAAAATTCCTTGAGAACTTTTTGCTGAGGAGTCCGATTGCGGCGTGGGCTTTCTTTGCCTCCAACGTATACCACAATGGATACTGGCTTAATACTCATGGCAAGGGTCGCATCAACTCAGCCCTGAAGACCGAGTGGGGGAAGTTGTTCCAATCCTATTAGTGGAGCAGTCCTGGGCCCCAGCCTGCTTCAATTTCAGGTCAGAAATTTGGCCTGCGCTTCCGTTTCCGCCTTCCGATAGATTTCCATTAGCGATCGGTCACTTTCCAGTGCGATGCGCCGGCAATCTTCGTATTCCGGGGCAGCAGCCACGATCCCGCCGGCCAGGTACTTTAGCTTCACTCGGATCTGTCCCAGGTCGGTCTCCAAAGTTTCGATCCGTCTTTCCGCAGCATACCTTTCTACCGGTCGGCTGCGCACACCCAAAGTAGGCGTCTCTCGGAGAATAAGCTCCACCCCCGCTTGCTCCAGGCTTTGTGGTAAAAGTGCGGACAGGATAATCCCTGGCCGATTTTTCTTCATTTGAATAGGCGTGTGCCAAACGTCGAGGGCGCCGAGGTCGAAAAGCCGCTCCTGAGCGTACCCCAATACTTCACCCGTTACATCATCCAGGTTGGTTTCCAACAGCACTATTCCCTGTTGGCGCGGGCCAATGGCTGAGAATTGCGCCGGATTTTCGGCGACCTCGCCAACCCATATGCGGACCACGTTGGGGAAGGCTTCCGGGTCTTTGCTGCCCAACCCTACGCCGATGCCTTCCACGGTCATTGCCGGCCTCTGGAACTGGGCTAGCGAAGCAATGATGGCAGCGCCGGTGGGGGTGGTTAACTCGCCCGCTCCCTGGTGGATGGAAAGTTCGGGCGCGATGGGGGCTTTCGCCAAGGCAACAAGTTCCAGCGTGGCTGGGGCAGGGTTGGAATATCCGCCAGGCCAGCGCGGTGGCGCGGAAACACCCAGAACCAGTGGAGCAGCATATACACCTGGTATTCCCAATCTGTGCAGCCCAAATGCGAAACCAACCACGTCCACTAGTGTATCCACGGTGCCCAATACTCTTCAAGTTCCAGGGCTTCCGGGTCTTCCCCATGTACCCTACATTCTGCTTGCCACAGGTTTTGCAGGACTTTGGTTGACTTTTCCTTGACCTCAGCTGGCAAATGGCTGTTTCCTACGATGTCAGAAAGGGCCCGGGGAGAAAAGCGGCGGTCGTTCTGTTGGGTTACAGTCAGTTTGGTTCCCCTGACTTCGCACCGTGTATCCTCGGCGACTGACAGTTGGTAGCCGTCCACACTTAGAAGAGACAGGCTGCTTCGGAGTTCCTCCAACGAAAGTCCCAAATCAATAAGGGCGCCAAGGAGCATGTCTCCGCTGGCGCCACCGATGAACTGTATATAGGCTGCTTTCATGGAAGCCTTCAGTTCCCGCGGGTTTGTGAATCGGCCATGTCAGGACCTGTTTCGGGGTTGGCTTTGATGGAAATTGTTGATCCCAGTTGGTCGTTTAAGCTGCCGGAGCGCAGCCCCGACAAATCCAGGGATACCCAGAGGTAGCCAATCTTCTTGAGGTTGGCAGCGATTTCCTTGCGTTGGGCAAAGGCTGACTCCATTTCCGATTCTCCCACCTCGACCCGGCAGTGGTTGTCGTGATGTCGGGCCCGAACTTCCTTTAAGCCCAAGCTCTTGAGATAGTCTTCAGCCCGTTCAATTTTGGACAGGGTTTCGGCACTCACAGGAATACCGTAAGGTATGCGCGACGACAGGCAAGGTTGGGCCGGTTTGTCCCAAACAGGCATCTCCAGGCTCTTGGCAAGGAGCCTTACAGTTTCCTTGTCCAGGTTTGCTTCTACTAGTGGACTGCGCACCTTGTTCTCGGTGGCAGCCAGCAGGCCGGGCCGGTAGTCGCCCAAGTCATCCAGATTGGCCCCGTTGGCTACCCAGGCATAACCCTCATCTTCCGCCAGCTTGCACAAGTTGGTATATAGTTCGGTTTTGCAAAAGTAGCATCGGTTGGACGCGTTGGCCACGTAACCTTCCCGGTCCATTTCATCGGTCTGGATAGTGCGGTGTCCGAATCCGAACTTTCCTGCCAATTGCACCGCGCCGTCCAACTCTCTTGAAGCCAACGCAGGGGAAATTGCTGTTATCGCTAGGGCTTGCTCTCCCAAGGTTCGGTGGGCCGCAAGAGCCAGCAACGCGCTGTCAACTCCACCGGAGTAGGCGACTATCACTGATCCCATTTCGGCCAGGATCGATTCCAGTCGGTCCATAGCTTGGCCCGGTGATTCATTCAACTGTACTAGCGGCTTTGCCATAATTTCGACTCGTTTGTTACCATGGATTGAGTGTCCAAGTGCAAGACCATTATACCAGCGAGTCGAATTAGGGAGATAAGGGTGACCGTTCAACGGATAAGCGCTGTTACGCTGGCTGTGAGGAATATGGCCCGTTCCGTGGTCTTTTATCGGGACCAAATGGGATTGAGAATGCTCTACGGTGGTGAGTCGGCCGGGTTTACCAGCTTTGGCATGGGAGACGGTTACCTGAACCTCATTGCCAGTGAAGAGAAAACCTCATGGTGGGGGCGGGTTATTTTCCACGTTGATGACGTGGACGAGTTTCACGAAAAATTGGTGAGCCTGGGGTTGAAGACTGATACCATCCCCGCTGACGCACCCTGGGGCGAACGGTACTTCCACATTACCGACCCGGACGGGCACGAACTTAGCTTTGCCCGCCCCCTGAACTCCCCCGCTCACTAACAAGATTCTTAGTAAAGTGCAAGACCGTTATTGCCCCGTAGCGGTCTTTCCCATACTCCCGATAGCCGAACTTTTCATACAGGGCGATGGCCGGTTTCAGAGGCGTAATGGTGGACAGGCGCAGGCTTGTGTAACCTTGCTCCCTCGCGTAAGCCTCGGCAGTTTCCAGGAGCGTCTGCGCTATCCCTCGTCTTCGGTACTCTATGTCCACGCTCAGTCGGCGCAGTTCCCCTTCTCTTTCGCTGCGTCTCTGCAGGCTGAACATACCCCTAACCTGTCCGTCTACTTCTGCAACCCAAAAGTTACTGCCATCCTGGTCCCTGTAGTTGGCCTTAATGTCGGAAAGATCGTCAAGCAGGGATTTTTCGACATAGGCCTCAATCTCTGCTTCGACACCGGCAGCAAATTGCCGTTGGCCGTCCGCAAACAGCCGGTGAATCGTCGGAGTATCTTTCGGCAGAAATTCTCTGATAGTGATCACTGCTGGCGAGCCGATGACGTCGTTCAAACGTTGACCAGGAAATTTATGACGTCGCCGTCCTTGACCTGATAGGTCTTTCCTTCTGAACGCAGGGCACCCTCTTTACGGCCTTGAGCAATGTTGCCACACCGATGAAGGTCATCGTAGGGGATTACTTCGGCCCGAATGAAGCCACGGATAAAATCAGAGTGTATTGTTCCCGCGGCCTCTTGCGCTCCAATGCCGTCGGGTACGCTCCAGGCACGAACCTCGTCGGGTCCCACGGTCAGGAATGAGATCAACCCCAGCGTGGCGTAACTGGTTCGAATGACCCTGGTCAACGCCGACTCGTCGAGACCCAGGTCGGCTCGAAACTCAGCTTCTTCTTCGTCGGACATCAGCGCCAGTTCCGCCTCCAGTTTGGCGCTCAGGCATACTTCACCCAGTTGCACCCCTGCTGGCAAGTCCAGCCCCAGAGGCTCCAGGGAAGGATCTTCCCCATCTTCATCGGTATTGAATGCCACAATTACGGGTTTACCGGTAAGCAGTTGGTAATTCTCAACGATGGCGGCCTCGGAGTCGGTCAACTGTTGGACACGCATAGGTATGCCTTCCTCCAGACCCCCCTTGACCTTTTTCACTGTCTCAAGTTGTCGAACCATTGCAGGGCGTTCGGCGGGTTTGGCCTTATTCATCCCGTCTTCCAACCGTTCGGTGGCCCGTTCCATGACTTCCAGATCCGCGAAGGTCAATTCTCCCAGCATGGTCTCGAGGTCCCGGCCCGGGTCAAGAGTCTCCATTGGATGAACTACTGCCGGATTTTCAAATGCCCTGATGACAACCAGGAAAGCGTCGGCGCTCTGCAGAATGTTCCGGTACCTTCCAACTATACCCTGGGACTTGGCCAGGGACTCCGGTCCAGGTACATCCCAGTACTTGATCTCTGCCGGTACTACCTTCCGAGGGTTATACATACCGGAGAGGACTTCGAGGCGTGAGTCGGGAACCTTCACGACGCCCAGGTGCATTTCAGTGGCAGACCCGCTGGCGCCGCTGGTGTCAGCGTTGCCGCGGGTCAATGCGTTAAAGACGGTGGTCTTGCCAGATTGAGGCAGACCGATGATTCCAATGTCCATGGGTTATAGCAACTCTTCCTCTCAGATATCTTGAAGCAGCGGATTTAGTCTCTTGCCAGTACCACCGTTCCAGTCGAAGACAGTGAGCCGCCGGTACCATTTACAAGGGAAATCTTCGGGCTGTCGGAGCCGTCCTTGGCCTTTACTTGCCGGTCGCCGCACTCGCCGCGCAATTGCCGTACCGACTCCACCAGGAGAAAGCTCCCGTACATCCCAGGATGAGTGTAGGAAAGGCCGCCGCCGGCCGTGTTCAAGGGGAAATCCCCGCCTGGAGCGGTACGTTGGTCGGCCACAAAGTCGGGAGCTTCCCCGGGCCTACAGAACCCCAAACCTTCTAGCGATAACATTACCGTGTAGGTGAAAGAGTCGTAGATCAAGGTAACGTCCACGTCATCATGGGTCACACCGGCCCGGTTCAGGGCATTGGGACCCGTCTCCCGGGCTATCAGGGAAGTGTAAGAGGACGGCATGGCGCTGATCAGGTTGTGATCATGTCCTTCAGCGGCTCCCAGCAGCCACACTGGGGCTTTCCTGCAGTTTGCGGCCTTCTCGGCCGTGGTCACAACGATGGCTGCGCCGGAATCGGTAACCAGGCAACAGTCAAGCAGGTGAAAGGGCCAGGACACCCATCGGGAGTTGTGATAGTCGTCAAAACTCATGGGAGTCTCGTGCATTACCGCCTTGGGGTTAAGGTTGGCCCACTTGCGGGTGGAAACGGCGATTTCCGCCATGGCCTGGCGCGTCCGGTCTTCGCCGTACTCGTGCATGTAACGAGTGCAAGCCATTGAATAGTTGATTGGCTGACCGATGAGACCGTAAGGGGACTCATACTGGGCCACCGGCAGGTTGGGGTCGGCGGGCACTCTGGCCCTGGTGGAACGTCCGGCCTGACCGTGCGTAATAAGCACTGTATCGCAATAGCCAGCCCGGATGGCTGCTGCTGCGTGAGCGACGTGGATAACGAATGACGAGCCGCCCACTGAAGTGTTGTCTGTAAAGCCTGGCTGAATCCCCATGTATACGGCAGTGGCCAACGTTGAAAAAACCGGCCGTCAAAAGGCCATGACCTCGATTTGCATATGCCTGCGTCTTCCAATGCGTTATAGGCGGCCTCCGCATGGTGCTGCAAAGACGATTTGTTGGGAACCGTTCCCATTTCGTCGGACTCGGCAACACCCACAATTGCAATGTCTCTTTCACGAGACGAGCTTGACGTCATGTTCTGCTAATCCTCCTGGGCGACGTTCAAATCCAAAAGCCGCCAGCGTTCGGGAAGATGTTACACTAATTGCACAGCGTTGAACAACGCTTGTCGGGAGTTGTTGCTTTAGCAGATCGGTGTAGTGGGCCGAGTGGTGGAATGTTAAAGTTATTTGGAGAGAAGCACAGATTGAAGTGATGCGGTCTGGGTCTTCTTCCTGAAAGAGCGGAAGAAGAAGCAGGACGGAGAAAACAAGGAAACCGTAAAGAGGACTTATCATGCCCCGTAACTCTGGATGATACTGCAAACGAGAAAAACTTCAATATCACTGTGGGTCTGGACTTTACCAAGCAGGCCTCAAGTTGAGTATCGTCGAAAAGTACAAAGGGTGGAGAAGAAAGACGACCGTTCCTTTTCTAGTGTTCAGGCATTAGAAAGTTCACTGCTACCGCAACCGTTACCGTGCCATACAAGGAAGTGGACTCCGACATCTGGCAAAATGAGGGCAGTGCAACCTGGCCTTATCTGGTTGAAATAAAGCCCGGAAACTGATATTGGAGGAAGAACAATTATACTTCCGCGGTCTGCTGGCCCACCGCTACGATACATCGCCGGTGGCCTCCGGAGAAACTGGTACATGGCTTTCCCAGGGCAATCTTCATTTGCATCCCAAGGGGACTCTTCTCATCGAGGAGAGAGAGATTGAAGAAGATTAAATTCGGTTCGTGAGTACGTGCTGGATGCCCGCCGCCGGCTCCAACGCGGAGCAGTCAGCAAGCAGCGCAGGTCAGGAGGGCGTAAGGAATCTCCGGCCAAGGTTCGCTCCCCTCGAAGAATAGCCGTACATTGGCCACTTGGAAGGGGCGGTCAATGCGTAGCAAAGTTGATCCAAGTTCGGTGAGGGATGTTAGGGGGGCGGGGCGGAAGGTTGCCCTAGAAATCTGGCCGGAAAGTGGCGGTGGCCGGGTAAGCGACTATACTTGGGGTCAACAAGGATAGCGAGGGCACTGAGTATGATGGGAGAGCGATCGAGCAGAGGGGCCTTTGGGAAGCGGACCGGCTGTACCTGGATCACGTGGGCAAGGACACCTTCTACGGTCTGCTGGCCTCGCAGCGGGGCCGGCTGTTCCGGGACGCGGATTTCGCGGAGTTCTACTGCGCCGACAACGGCCGGGACAGCGTGCCGCCCAGCCTGCTGGCGACGGCCCTGCTGTTGCAGACCCACGACAAGGTCAGCGACGCGGAGGCCAAGGCCCGGGCCGACTTCGACCTCCGGTGGAAAGTGGCCCTGGGGATTGAGGTGGAGGACCGGCCCTTCGCCAAGAGCACGCTGCAGGTGTTCCGGGCCCAGCTGATCCTGCACGACAGGTGCGGGAGGTATTCGAGTCCAGCCTGCGGCTGGCCCGGGAGTCGGGGTACCTGAAAAAGCGGAGCATGCGGGTGGCGCTGGACACGACCAACATCCTGGGGCGGGGCGCGGTGAGGGACACCTTCAATCTGCTGGCGGACGGGATCGTCAAATTGATGCGGGCGCTGGCGGCCGTGGAGAAGTCCAGCGTCAAAGAATGGGGCAAGGGCCGGGGATATGAGGGGTACCTGGGTTCCAGTGTGAAGGGCGAGGCCGCCATCGACTGGTCGGACAAGGGGGCGCGGCAGGCGCTGCTGGCTGGGATTGTGGGAGACGCGGACCGGCTCTTGGAATTATCGCGGCGGGCCCAGGGGGAGTTGCCCGAGGACAGCGCTGAGCGGCAGCAGATCGTGGACGCGGCGCAGTTGCTGGGGCAGTTGCTGCTCCAGGACATTGAGCGCAAGAGCGGCGATGGCGACGGCGATGACGGCGTGAGCCTCAAGGACGGGGTGAGTCGGGACCGGATGATGTCGGTGCACGACCCGGAGATGCGCCACGGGCACAAGAGCAGCAGCAAACGGTTTGACGGACACAAGGCGGCGATTGTGGTGGACACCGACACCCAGCTGATCACCGCCGTGGCGGTACTGCCGGGCAACGCTCCGGACAACCTGGGGGCGCTGGAACTGGTGGAACAGAGCGAGGCCAACACCGGTGTGCCGGTGGAGGAGGCCATGGGCGACGCCGCCTATGGGAGACGGAGCTACCAGGCAGACCTTCGCCGATGCGGGCCGCAAGCTGGTAGCCCGGGTGCCGGGCCGGCCCGACCGGAAGCGCTTTCCCAAGGATGACTTTGTCATCGACCTGGCCGCGGGCAGTTGCACCTGTCCGGCGGGGACAGGTCACCCACACCATCGTGCCAGCGGGAAAGCGGACGGATGGCACGGGGCGGGTCCACCACTTGCGGGCCTTCCAGTTCGACGGGGCGGTATGTCGAATATGTCCACTGCGGTCCCAGTGCATCGCAGCCAAGGGCAGGAAGGGACGGCGGGTGCTGATCCATCCCCAGGAAGGCCTCCTGCAGGAGGCCCGGGCTTTGCAGCGGAGCGCCGCCTACGACGAGTATCGAGCGCGACGCGTGGCGGTGGAACACCGGTTGGCCCGACTGGTGCAGTTGGGGATTCGCCAGTCCCGCTATTTCGGCAGGGTCAAGACGCGATTCCAGCTGTATCTGGCGGCCACGGTGGCCAACCTGACCCTGGTGGCGGGCAAAATCGAGCTGTCGGACAGTGTCGGCGGTGAGCTTCCGCGCCACCGCGCCGTCCTCAGTGCCGTCCCAGTGATTTGTCAGGCTGTTTCCACACGTTATGTTGTCGCCAATGCTACGGCCATTTTGCGCGGCCGCCGGTCCGGCTCGGACAACTATGGTCCAAGATTTCTGATTCGCCTGGCTTTATGCCGAAATCCCTTCCCAACCAGGGCTTTTCGGCCCGGTTTTCTAGGGGATTCACCAACAAATCGCTGGCAGGAGGGCGACCAAGTCCGGGTCAACAAGGTACCTGGACGGCCGGGGGCTGCAACGCAATACCCTGTTCCATCAGCTAATACAGGCCCTCATCGAACCAACCCCCACCGCCTCCGACGAGCAGTCAGTCTTGGAGCCCTGAGTAACTACACCGCGGCCCACGGTAACGTGCGAGTGCCGCATTACCGGCAACCCCGGTTGGGAGAAGCGCCATGATAACTTCGGTGCGCCTGGTCAATTTCAAGAACTTCGCCGACGAAACTCTGAATGTCGGCCCCTTCACCGTGATCGTGGGCGCCAACGCCAGCGGCAAAGCAACATCCGCGATGCCTTCCGCTTCCTCCACGGCATAGGGAGGGGATACACGCTGATAGAGATTATCGGAGGCAAATACGGGCCAGGTGGCCAAATGGAGTGGGAGCCGATTCGTGGGGCACCCAATGAAATTGAGCGCATTGGGGCCCATCTTTCAAGGTTGTTCTCCGAATTCTCTATTCAGGTTGAGTTAGTTCTGGAGGGAGAGAAAACTTCCTACTCCATTGGACTCGGCAGTGACCTGCTCTACCCAGATGGGTTTCGAGTTATTAAGGAAGAGCTGAGCAGCAAATCAACTACGGCTTACGCCACTGTGGAAGAAGAGTTTGATGATCCGTTGATCCATTTGAAGGGAGAGGGTCACGCCCCTGATGGTTCTGGTGGATTTGAAGCCAGGCTTAGCCGAGGTCAGCCCCGTTCTGACCCAATTCATGAGAATCCCGCATCAGATACAGCGGCCTTTAATACCGGATACCCATTCAGCACTTGGTGGCATACGTTTTCTTGAGCTGTCCCCGGTACGAATGCGTGAGCCGTCGATCCCGGGGGCCAATACGTTGGGGGACTACGGGCAAAATTTGCCCTCGGTATTGGAATCAATCTGCAACGATTCCCAGCGGGAAAGCACCCTGATGTCTTGGCTGCAAGAACTTAGCCCGATGGACGTCAAGGACTTTGACTTTCCCCGCGATCCGAGCGGGCGCGTACACCTTCATATCGCAGAGAGTAACGGGCGCAAAATATCGTCCTACAGTGCATCGGACGGTACGTTGCGGTTCTTGGGTATACTAGCGGCGCTGCTAAGTCCAGGCGAAGGAGGTCTCTATTTCTTCGAGGAGATTGACAACGGCATCCACCCCAGCCGATTGTGGCTCCTGGTGGACTTCATCGAACGGCAGACCGCCAAAGGCGGAGTCCAGGTGATAACCACGACCCACTCGCCCGCCCTGCTGTCCTGGATGATCGACACAACCTTTGATCACACATCCGTCGTTTACCGTGACCAATACTGGGCCGACAGCGTTATACGCCCGATGGCAGGGCTGTACAACCTGCGGGAGTTGCGAAAGTCGGTCACCTTGGGAGAACTGCATACAGAGGGCTGGATGGAGCAAGCGATGAAAGCCTCCGAGGGAGAATCCGATACAGACCATCTGGACGAGGATGAAAATGACTGGCAGCAGGGCACACTCGGATGAAGGTCATGATCATTCCTGAGGACTTCAAAAATGACCAATACATTCTCAAACCGTTGTTCTCCCGGCTGTTCAGGAACATTGGCATCCCTTCCGTGGAAATTCTGATATGTTACAACCCCCGGCTTAGGGGCGTCGCTGAAGCCCTGACGTCGGACCGCTTGGCCCAGATCGTCCAACGGTATGGCGGCATGATGGATGCCTTCGTATTGTGCGTTGACCGCGACGGTGTCCTGGGACGTCGGGATAGGCTTGACCAGATTGAGCAGGAATTCGGAAACAATCGCATTTTCCTCGCCGAGAATGCCTGGGAAGAGATAGAGACCTGGGTGTTGGCCGGGCTGGATCTGCCCGGCGACTGGCGATGGGCGGATGTTCGCGCAGAGGTTGATGTCAAGGAAAGATACTTTGAGTTGCTGTCCGACCGACGCGGTTTAATCGACTCCCCGGGCCGCGGCCGGAAAACATTGGGTGAGGAGGCCTCCCGTCGGATTGTCCCCATCCGCCAAAAATGTCCCGAGGACTTTGACTCCCTTGCCCGCAGGCTGGAAACTGCAGTTCAGGCAACCTAAGCGAGGTCATCCAAACCACGCCAGACGCCCCAAGCACCCCGCCCGTACCAAGTAAGATATACACTGGCCACGCTAGGAAAATCTACTCTTACTCAGGTATAAAATATTCCGCTATAAACTTGTAAAACTGGACCTGTTCGCATGATGTCCTTCTCCCACGCCATCAGAACGTGCCTCCGCAGGTACGCAGATTTCAGAGGCAGGGCTCCCCGTACAGAATTCTGGTGGTGGTGGTTGGGCTGCGGACTGGTTGCTGGGATGATGAACCTGTTACAAGCAGCTCTGATTGCCTCAGTGGCGTTCGAGTGGTGGCCCGAGGACTGGGGATTTGGACCCCAGTCCCTGCTGGCTTTTGTCGTCGCTCAGCTCGGAAGGATCGTCAACATTGCCATGATCCTCCCCTCTCTGGCCGTCACATCCCGCCGTCTCACGACATCGGGAGGAGCGGTTGGTGGCAAATCCTATGGTGGCCCCTGCCTCACTCGCGTTAGTGCTGGGAGTGGCCCTATTCCTCTTCTACGGACCCTTCGGTCTCATGGGACTGGAGGACAGCTTCAGCCGTGATGCTGCCCCCTGGGTGCTCCGTACCCTGATCCCCGCTTTCATCGCCCTGGCCATTGTTGCCGCGGCCACGTTCATCATGACCGTTGCCTGGCTCTCCCGCCAGGGACAACCTGTACCCAATCGATTCGGCCCGAACCCATGCTAATAATTCCAGATGGACTGGGACTGGAAGTACTGGCCGTTATTGAGGATCAAGATAGGGAGGGTACCGAAGAGGGCCCCTATGGGTGTTAGGTCTGAGCGATGGCGTTCAGGTTGTCGGTGATGGTGGTGCTCACTTTATATTTCTTCGGGGGAGTTGGCAGGTCGCACTCCATTTCTCCCGCCGCCTTTGCAATAAAGTATCTGACCGCCGGGTCAGTTGATGATTTCAGGTTTTGGTACGACTGTTCCAGAAAGCGGTTGAATTCAGGTCCTGCTACCTGGAATTTCCCTTTGATAGCTTCGGCCATTGCCGCGCTGCGGGCCTGGTGCTGTCTGAAGAACCTGAAGCATTCTTTTGCTGGGCAGTTTGGGTCATCGTTATACGCCAGGATCGACGATGCCCTTTCGGTTGTTTCCCGGGTGACCGCAATGTCCACTCGGTCGTTAACTGTCCATTGAGTATCGGGTATTTCGTGTAAGACATCGATGGCGTGTAGCAGTTCCAAGTGCAGGACTGGGATGAGTTTGATGATTCTTTTCATTGACTGGTTTGTAGGTTGTTCTATATGCCAGTAGCGCATGAATTGGAAGAAATCATTGTTCCCTGTTTCATTCAGATAACTTGAAAGGGATTTCGTATGCTCCAGCCCTTCTTTATCCGGGTTTATGCAGTAGAACTCTCTTGCCTCTTGGAAGGCTGTTTCCAGGAATTGGGCACGGTCCTTCTGTACCTGTTCCAGTTCCCCCAGTAAATTTTCAAGGTCGTGTGTACGGTCTACTTTGCTACATGCTTTTGCGAGGATGAATTTGAGTGACTTCTCGATGGCCAGATGTGCCTGTGGGCCCCTCGCTGACACGTCGGTAGCGTTGCTTTTGGGGAATGGCCAGTAGTTGAACAGATCATGACTGGTGCTGACTATGGTGCGTCTTACTTCTTCGCATATGAGCCAATCTCGTTCGAGTGGTGTCAAATCTTCGTTCGTCACGTTTTGCATATGATCCATGTCCCCCTCTCGGTTGCCCTTTCGCATGGGTTTAATGTTCCACTGATGGGGATGCACGAGAGATGGGATATATAAAAAACCAAACGAAAACCACTGTCCAGCCGATCGTTTCTTTCTCCTTCGCTACTTGGCTAACGGGGCGCGGTGCGCTCCTGTTTGAAAGGATCTCTCAGAATGGGATCTTCTTAGGAATGAATGTTGGCCACTCTATTGTAGCGTCACTTAACCATCTAACTACGTGGTGGGACACCGGCCCCTTACTTCCGGAAGCAATAAATAATGAAGCCACGCTACCGGATGCAGGGAGTCCGGCGGCTGTGTGGAAACAGTGTTCAGGTCTGCCACGAACCGCACCACAGGCCCAAGCCATCAGAACATGCCTTCGCAGGTACGCAGACTTCAGAAGCAGGCTGGCACCCGTTGCAGAATAATGTGGGTATCATAAAGGGTAAACAACCGTGCTATTCTACACTGACCCTGATCTGACTACGGCCACCGCTCACGCCCTGGCTTGGCTCGTTTTTACCCTACGTAATTTTTGTCCCGTCAGCTGCATCTTCGTGGAAAGGCGTGTTCTCCCGGGGAGCACCTCCATGGTGATTGGTTCCTGCGCCCTTCACTACGACCTGTGGGATGCTTCTTGGTACTTCGTTCCGGTCTTTTTGACAGGCATGGCTCTGATCATGCTGTTGGCCTCACGATGATCCGTCAGCTGTGGGCACCTTGATACTTGGCGTTCTCTCCTTCGCTGTCGTGGAGGGGTGATCTGCTTGGTGGGTACCTGGTACTTGTCGTCGGGTCGCCTACGTTCCCTCTGCCCTGGCTATGCTCGTTGCAACCGTTCTATCCGTTCGCCGTCCCCGGACAGAATAGGTCACAGCCCATTACCCAGCAATGCCCAAGGTGTATGGATTGAAAGAGAACGCCACTTCTCGTAGTTTTCCATAAAGGCGGAGGCCATCTGATGAAGTACGTATTGTTCTCTTTCGACGGACGGATAAATCGCACCCAGTATTGGCAAACGGGTATATTGCCTCTCTCCGCATTGGCGTTGCTTTGGGGCTAATGTCTGTGCCACCTAGGCTTCGTCTGTGGCATCCTGCTCTCGATAGTGAGTGATTGACTGCTGCTTTGGTCTGGGGTTTTACTGCCGCCAGCATCAAGAGATGCCACGACATGGGGCACTCCGGTTTCTGGACTCTCCTTTATCTAATCCCCGGCGTTGCCCTGGTCGGCCTGATTGTGCTGGGGGCGTGGCGTTCTGCCGCTGACCGGTATATGACCAAGCCACATGGACGTACCCGGCATGTGTTCGCGTAAGGGAGAGAGAAAAATTGTACTTGCTCCCCTTCTAATCCTCGGTGCGTTGTTTGCCTTCTACTGGCCCTTGTGGCAGCCAAGCTTTGTCGGCGACTCTCAGAGCGGCGTTGGCGGAACGCGAGGATTCACACCTACAGAGGAAGAGAAGCGCGCCGGAGCGGAGATCTTGAGAAAGTCAGGGATTGTAAAACGCATCAATGGAGGGCAGGAATGGGAACCGGTGCATCGTATCTCCGGATACACCGCCCAGACTGGCAATCGCAAACTCTCGGTAGAGGCCGTATGGGTCACGCCGGCGGTACATTCGGGACCGTGGTCGTGGACGGAGTGTGATGACCCTCGGAAAGTCGGTGCTCAAACAGAGTTGGAGCAATATAACCCGCCTGAAAGCGCGCATCGACCTGGACGAAGGTCGCATTCTCCACTACAGCCCAAGTGTGTGGGGACCTGACGACGAGCAGCCCGTCATTGGGCCCTTAAACCCCATCGGTTTGGTCCGCGTGTACAACGCTCGCACCAGTGAACACCTGATCACCGGACACAAAATTTTCATTATGCCAAGCCCGATCCTGTGCACGCCGGGACGATACTACAGAGACTGACGGCCGAAATTAAAGAATATACGAACAGCCCGCCCAAACCCGCCAACGTCACGGATACAAAGGAAAACGGGAATCTGTCCGAGTACTGAGGGTTTACGCTCATTGCTGACGAACCGGCATTCGAGAAGTATTCACGGCCTTGAGCAAAACAAGCATTGATTTGCGACACTTTCGCAGTATTTGGATTTCTTCCATGAGCCTTCTTGTACCACCTAGTGACAAAATCATGGGACTCAAAACGAGACAAAGATTGCCAATGGATATCTTTCATCATGGTTATGACCTTACCCCAACAGTTTTACCACAGCGGATGAGAGGTTACGGTTCATTCTAACTTGGCGAAACAACCATCAACGGTGATCAGGTCAATTTTAGATTGGCGAAAATATTCAGGATTAAGTTGGCGTTGACACGGCAGATTGGAGGAACGACTGGGCCTCGTTATCTCTTTTACCAGTCGCACATCTTTCCCACCTTGGAATGATCCCGATCCGAGAAGTGCCCCTCCAACTAACCGCATGCCTGGCAGGCGATTATCACCACGTCCGCGACGTGGAACCCCTAGCAACCGCTGGCCAAAACGTAAAATCTTCTCACCATACTTTGCCCCATAACGGCAATTACCGTGCATAACACACTCTGCGCCCATCTGCCCAATAGCTCCGGTGATTGCATTCCCTTCTTTGGCCCTGCTTCCCTTGCCCTTTGACCTGGTCCCTTTCCTTCTGGATTGTTCCGCAGCGGTGTGAACTGGATCAAACCCCACTTACAGACGGGGCTATTTCCACCGGGCGGTGGAAAGCAGTCCGCCCCCGACCGAACCTGACCCGGCAGGTGTTTTAGAGAACGCTGGCGTCCCGCATTGACCGGCTCTTCCCGCCGGGGACGGAGGAATGCGGGGAAGCCGCCGGAACTGGGCTTTGGAGAGCTTGCTTGGTCCAGGTGGTCGCCCTGGGCTGGGGTTCCGGCCCTGACGGCCTGGCCTGGCGGACGCCTGGCAGCAGCCCTGGCGTCGAGCGCAACCGACAACCGGCGAGGCCGGTCGTGGAGGCTGGCGGCTTCAGGTCATCCACCGAAGGTGGTGGCTCTGCACTATTTCCCTCCCCGGCCGGCGCCCACCCCTCTCCGCCATGTTCGTGGCGGCGGTCTTCACCGCCGGTCCTGCCGGGCACATCACTGTGTGTCCTCCGCCAACCGTTGCTAAGTCTTGCAATACGATATACGTAATCTGCCACCCTTGTCCAAGCGTATCTTAAGCATTGGACACACGCTTAACGTCATTCACGACTCTGCCGACAAGGAGGACTGAACCCGCCGGAGCAACCATCACGCATGGGGCAGGCCGCCCCCGTCGCACCAGGCAGGGCCGGGGAAGCAGGAGGCCCACTGGTGGCAGCGGGGGAACCCCTCACCTACGAGCAGAGACGACTGCTAAGAATTATCGGCAGGATGCCCCTGGCCAGCCCGGCCAGCCTGGCCCAGGTGGTGGAGCTGAGGGAGGAGAGAGTCAGAAGGTTGCTGGGCGCCCTGCGGCGGAGCGGCTGGGTTGCCCGGTGGCGAGGGGCATGACCGAGCGGCGGCAGCGCCGCTGGTTCCTGACCCGCCAGGCGGTGGGCCTGCTTTACGTCAGCGACCACCAGCACCCCGGACCCAGGGAGGTGGCCCGGGCCGTCGGACTGGCCGCCTTCCATCCGGCGGGGGAACTGCCGGAGGACTTCCGGCAGCGCTTCGCCCTGGACCACGACCATCCCCCCCACCTGGAGGACCAGGGCGACACTCCCTTCGCCGCCGACCTTGCCGCCGACCTTGCCGCCGACCTTGCCGCCGGTATTGCCGGCGATACCGCCGCCGCCGCAGAGGGGAGCGACGGCGGCGACCACGACCACGAACACCCGCCCTGGACCGCCACGTCGAGAGGTATTGAGATCGCCCTGCGTCGGCTGGCCATGCTGGAAACCTTCTACCGCCTGGCTCCGGAGTTGCTGAAGAGCGGCCGGGTCCGCCCACCGGCGGAAGGGGAGGCCAATCGTGAACTGAGGATGACCGACTTCCGGCTGCTGCGCCACGGCGGCTTCTACCACGCCGTGGCCCGCTACGGACAGGATCTCTGGATTCCCTTCAGCTACGCCGGCCTTCACGCCACCGAGCGGGCGCTGCGGCGTAAGGAGCAGCACCGCTTCTGGGGCGTTGACTGCTACTCCCACCAGGAGGACCGGCAAATCCGCATCGCCAACCGGCTGTTCCACGTTGACCCGGACCTGGCGGTGCAGCCCTCGGGCCTGGTGGTGGTGGCCGCCGACGCCTGGGCCGGGGAACTGGCCCGGACCACCCTTAAAGATGACACTCCCACGTTGTTCTGCACGCCAGACGGGCGGTGCAGCGAGGCGGTGGAACTGCGGGCCTCCCGGGACCTGGTGTCCGACCCCGCGGGCCATCCCACCGTGGGCCGGCCCGAGAGTGCCGGCCTGTGGCTGAGAGACAATCCGGACATGGCGGCCATCGGCGGCCGGGCCGCCCACCGGCTGTTCCTGGCCATCTGCCAGTTCCCCGCCATGCGGGCCGGCTGGCTGCGGGAGGTTGTGGGCGGCTCCCCGAGCGAGGTCGGCCGCCACCTGGAGCGGTTCGTGGACACCGGCCTGGTGGCGGTGTTCGACGGGCGGCACTACCTGTCGGAACCGGGCATGAGACGGCCGGCCAACATGAGCCGGGTGCTGCCCTCGGTGATTCGCAGCCGTCACGGGGCCTACCTGGGCCGCTGGTACCGGGAGCACGAGGCGCATCACAACGACGGGGTGAACCGGCTGGTGGTGCGCTTCGCCCGGGAGGGAGTGGCGCGGCGGTGGCTGGGCTGGGCGAGGTCAACGTGCCGGGATTGACCCAGGTCCGGCCCGACCTGCTGGTGCAGGTCAGCGAAGGGACAATAGGCGCGGGAATTCACTTCATCGAGTTCGAGCGCACCGCCGTGTCGCCCCAGGAGGTGGAGTACAAGCTGGGCCCCTACCGCCGGATGGCCGCCACGGGCAGGCCCCTGCCCCTGCTGATGGTTTGCGAGACGGCGCGGGGCCGGCGCAACTTCCGCGCCGCCGCCGGGGCGCTGCCCATGCTGACCGCCACCCAGGAGAGGGCCTTTGCCGGGCCGGTGACGGGGGCGGTCACGGTCTGGAGCCGGAACTAGGTCCCGGCGGCGCTGCACTGCCGGTAACGGGGAGGTCGGCGCCGGCTGTGGCTTTACCGTAGAGTTCCCTGCCTTCACCGGCCTGCCAGGCCTTGAGCGCGTCCCCGGGGCAAAGGACCAGTGTTGAATAACCAGCCCTAACCGCCGTCCGCCAGGCCGGTGCGGACGGCCCAGACCACCATCTGCTGTCTGGTCTTGAACCCCAGCTTCCTCTGAACGCCGGACACGGCGTTGCGCACCGTCAGGGCGCTGTTGTTCCTGATCTCGCCGATCTCCTGGTAGGACAGTCCCTGGGCAAAACAGCTTCAGGATTTCCTTCTCCCGCTGCGTCAGCATGGCCAGCTGTTCGTCGGTGCCGTCAGTGGGTCCGCTACGCACCGCCCGGGACAGCCTCCTGGCGGCGTCTCCAGGAATGCGGAACTCCCCCTCGGCCACCTCGCGCAGGGTCGCCAGCAACTGCTCCTTGCCGGAGTATTTCTGAAGGTACCCGGTGGCCCCGGCGGCGATGGACCGGACGATGGCGTCCTGCTCGTTGGATGCCGTCAGCATCAGCACTTTGATTTCGGGCAGCAGTTCTGTAATCTGGCGGCAGGCCTCGATGCCGTCCAGCAATGGCATGATCACGTCCATGACGATTACGTCGGGCGCTGCTTCCGGAGCAGCCTCCTCCACCAGCCTCAGGGCCTCCTGCCCGTCGGCCGCCTGGGCCACGACCTGGAACTCTCCGGTGTTCTCCAGGGCATCCCGCAGCAGGTCCCGCATGACCTGGTGGTCGTCCACCAGCATGACGCTGGTCCGGGTGTCGGTATCCATCTATACCCCTCCTTTGAGAGTTTGATACGGAACAACGCAGGTCACGGTGGTCCCGCCGCCGTCCCCGTCCGATTCCACCTCAAGAACTCCGCCCATCCGCCCGGCGTCGGCCCGCATGTTCCTGAACCCGTGGCCCCTGGCCTCGTAGTCCTCCGGCAGTTCCCCGCCGTCGTCGGACACCGACAGCCGCAACTCCTCGCCGGCGCAATCGAGACCGATGACCACCCTGCTGGCATTGGCGTGCCGGATCACATTGGTCAGGGCGTTGTGGGCTACGGAGAAGAGCAGGCTCCGGTCAATGATGGACAGCGGGGGCTCCCGGCCCTGCTGCACCAGCTCCGCCGGCACTGAGGTGATGACGGTGAAGGTGGCGGCGTGGGCTTCCAATACCTCGCCCAACTCCTCTCCCCGGAATATCTGCCCGCCGTCGATGGGGTGCCTCAGCTCCCACATGGCCGACCGGGACAGTTCCGCCACCAGTCGGAGCTTGGCCTTCAGTTCCTCCTGGGTTTCGTCCGCCAGCTCCATCGCCCCTTCGACGCCCAGGCCGATCATGTAGGCCCACTGGGCGGTGGTGTCGTGGATGGTCTGGGAGAGCTCGATGCGCTGGCGCTGCAGTTCCCGTTCCCGCTCCAGCCCTTTTCGCCTGCTTTCCCGCTCCAGGCCGGAGATTATGCTGACCACCGCCGCCACGGCGTACAGGATCAGCACCCGGTAGAAGAGGTGCTGCTCCTCCTTGCCGGCCAGGTCCAGCCCCGGCTCAACTGCAAAGCTCAGCGCCGAGTAGATGGCCGCCACCAGGGTGGTCCAGGGCAGGACCAGCAAGGGAGCGGTGAACACGTAGGCGAATACCGCCACCGCGACGTAGTACACCACGAAATAGGGACTGTTGAAACCGCCGGAAATGGAGGTGCTGAAGGAAACCACCGCCAGGTCCAGGGCGCTCAATGCATTTAGAACGACAGAGCGAAGACGACGAAGGAGTACACTTTCGTATGAGTAGTCCTAGAATGAGGGCAACTAGCGAGGATGGACTGTAATAAGGGAAACCTCCACCACAATGATGACAAGTCGAGGCCTCCCTCTTATAGAAGGGGGCTATAGTTGCTCTATGGCCTTATCCAACTCGTGTCGCCTTTGTGGAGATACTCCTTGGCAAAGGCCATTGCTTGTGCAGGTTCGTCAAGCCCACCCCACTTTAGTAAGGCAGCATCCACGACTCGGAGAACGCTAGCGCGCAGGTGCTGTGGGTACGGGCGTCCCGTTGGCGAGGGAATGGCCGCCCCTTGGCAAAATTCCCGTTGATGGTCAGGCGGGCGCCGCTGGCCGGTATCAGCACCGTGGCAACGCCATGAGGCCGTTCCGGGTTGCCGCCCGGAAAGCTGTGGCTCAGGAAAGGCTCGCCAAGGTCATACCAAGTCAGCGCAATTTCCTCGCCTTGGGCGTTCACCGACTCGGTCCAGTACGACCGCAAGTCGCCAGAGCTTCCGAAGGACGCGTCCCGGGCCGGGATTTCCAGGTTCCCGAACGTAGCGTTGATCCTGCCTTGTATTTCTCCCTGAAGCCACCGCGTCATCTGGATGTTGTCGGTGTAAATCCTCGGCTCGTTGCCGGTCAGTTCGCTTTGCAGGAACAGCACGTGGCCGGGACCGCCGGGAGAAAACAGGATACGCCAGAAACTGGCGTCGGTGGTGACCGGCCCGTCGTCGGTCTCGCTGAGCCGGATGTATGGGTTCTCCCCGGTAAGCAATATTTGGCTTGGGTCTATGGGGCTGGTCGTCACTGTCTCGACTCCTTTGGGTTGATTTGCCGGGAACCCGCTGGTGCTGTTATGTAAATTAACGCGGGGTGCGGTGGTGTGGTCCCGCAATTGGCCTCATTCCCGTCCAGGACCGGCATCTATGCTTTAAACCATCATCCTCGAACTCAAACCGTCATTCCCGCGAAGGCGGGAATCCACTACCGTGGGTCCGGGCGATGTTCTCGAAGTCTTCCAGCCTTGGCAGCAGCAACGGCAAGTCCACCCCCGCGTTACGGTAGGCGGCAACCCGTTCCTTGCAGTACTCCTCCGACCCCACAAGGTAGAACGCGTCCACCATCTCATCACTGATCAGGTCCACCGCGCTGGCGACCCTGTCCTGCTGCACCGATGCACGCAACGGCTCGAGGATGGACTGGTCGAACCCGCCCTTCTCCAACAGGATCTCGCCGACACGGGGTTCCTCCAGCAGCCGGACGATCCGCCGTTTCAAGTCGGGCCAGAGCCGCTCCGGCTCGTCGGTCTGCCGCATGATCAACATGCAGGCTATGTCAACCGAATCGGGGTCGCGCCCAGCGTCCTGCGCCGCCTTCCTCACCTCTTCCGCCGCATATTTCACGTAGTCCACCGGCGTGTAGGCGTTCAAAAGCACCCCGTCGGCTATCGCGCCCGCCAGCCGCAGCGCCCTCGGCCCGATAGCCGCCAAGTATATCGGCGGCTCCGCTTGGCTGGGCGCAATGGCCAGCCGCACGTTGGTCAACGGCGACGGTCCCTCGGTAGTAGTTAACGCCTCTCCCGCCATCAACCGCCGCAGGGTGGACACCACCGACTCCATCACTTGGAAGGGGTCGCCGTAGCTCATCCCCATCCTGCCTTGGATTACGCCCCTTTCGCTCCGGCCCAACCCCAAGGAGAACCGCCCCCCGGAGATACGGTCCAAGGTCGCTGTGGACATGGCCAGCAACGCCGGGTTCCGGGTGTAGGGGTTGGTGACGCCCAGCCCCAGCTTGATGGTCCTGGTTGCCGCGGCAAGGTAGCCCAGCAGGGAAAACGTCTCCTCGTGGAAGTACCGCTCGGTCACCCACAGCGACTCGAACCCGGCGGCCTCGGCAAGCTCGCCGTAACGCCGCAGCTCCTCGCCGCTGTCTATGCCGTGGTATAGGACTATTCCAAGTCGTTCCACTGGTCAAACCCTTTCCTTATGTCAATAAGCGCTCGGCCAACTTGACAAAGTCGTCTACGATGATGTCGGGCTGGTAGTCGGAATCTTCGGTGGGCAACCTGTAGCGGTTCACGTAGGCTGCCTTGAAGCCGCAGGCTTGTGCCCCCAGTATGTCAAAGGCGTGGGCCGCGACCATCATTATCTCTCCAGGCTCGCACCCCAGCCGCTGCACCGCCTTGCGGTAAATCCCCGGAGCGGGCTTGAACGCGCCAACCTGGTCCACCGATATGATCGCGTCAAATTCCACCGGCACGTTGCCGCCCAGCAGTTTCTCCAAGTACCACTGCTCCCCGTTGGACAATGCCACTAGCTTGTACCGGCCGCCCAACGACCACAGGCCCTCGATGGCGTCGTCGTATGGTTGCAGGTCCATGTAGACCTTCATGAACTCCTGCACACCCTCGGTTGTGTAGCTGACGTTGTGCTTCTTCAGGCAGTAGACAAACGCGCGGCGGCAGGTCTCCAAGTAGCCGCTGTGCCCCAGCATCAGCAGGTTGTCCTGGTACTGCTCAATGCGCTGGCGTTCCCGCCAATCGGCGTAGAATGCCTGCCCGGTCATCTGAGACCCGTTGGCCGTTAAGAAGTCTCCCGCCGGCCCGGCCAAGCTTCCCGTCAAGTCCATCACGGTCCGAAAATGTCGAACGTAAGGTATTTGACCCTCTCTAGGGAATGGTCTGCCATGCAATTACTCTCCTACTTGAACCAGTCGGAGACACGCTCGCCGATCATTATAGCCGTGGCGTTGGTGTTGGCCCGCACCACGTCGGGCATGACGGACGTATCCACCACCCGTAGCCCTTCCAGCCCGTGCACCCGGCAGTACTGGTCCACCACCGCCACCGGGTCCGACGCCGGTCCCATCTTGCAGGTGCCTGACATGTGGATGGCCGTGGTCAGATTACCCACAATCCAAGCGTCCAGCGATTCGTCGCTGACAAGGTCCTCATTCGACAGGTTGATGCGCTCCTTGATGTAGGGCTGGTATGCCGGGTGCTCCAGCAGCTTCACGCAAAGGCGTACCCCTTCCCGCATCCTCTGCCGGTCCCAAGCGTCTTCCATGTACCCGTATTCCAGGGTTGGGTAAACGTGGGGGTCTGCCGAGGCCAGCCGCAACTCTCCCGACCCCTTGGGAAGCTCCAGGAAACAGGTGATCCGAAGGTCGTCGTCTGCCGAAACATCCCCGTAGGGCGGGCCGGAAGGATAGGCTTGGCTGATCATTATGTCATTTCGCGTCGGTGACCCGGAAGCCGTGTAACGAAGGGTCAGGTTGGTCCACGGACCGTTGGGGTCCAGGACCACGTCGTCTTTCACCCGCAGCGACACTCTCACTCCCGGGTGGTCCCTCAGGTTCCGGCCCACCCCCGGCAGGTCGTGCACCACCGGTATGCCAAGCTCCCTGAGATGGTCCGCTGGGCCTATTCCCGATAGCATGAGCAGGTGAGGTGACGCCACGGCGCCCCCGCACAGCGCTATCTCCTCTCCCTCAACCACAAACCGATCCCCGCCGCTTTCGACCTCGACGCCGGTCGCCCTGTTGCCGTCGAACAACACTCGTCTGGCCTGGCGTTGGCCCTGATGGTCAGGTTCAGTCGGTACCGGTTGGGATTGAGGTGGGTCAGCGTCATGCTCATGCGGACGCCGTCGCTGGTGTTCTTGGGCATCAACCCTACGCCCGTGGCTTCCGGGTGGTTCACGTCCGGGTCTTCCGGGAACCCCGCCGCCACGCAGGCATCATAGAAGGCCCCTTGGACCGGTTGCTCGTCTTCCCGGTTGTGCCGCCGTATCTCGATGGGGCCGGTGGACCCGTGGAAGTCGTCCCGGATGTCCAGGTCGTTCTCGATTTGCCGGAAGTAAGGCAGCACCTTGATGAACGACCATTCATCGTTTCCCAACGCGGCCCAGCCGTCGAAGTCCTCAGGGACCCCCCGGATGAACGACTGGCCGTTTGATGGCGCTGGAGCCGCCGATGACCTTGCCTCTTGGTATGGGCGTCCGTTCAGAGTGGCCCGGCGCAAGTCGGCCCGAGTAAGACCAGTTGAATGGCGAGTCAACAGCCGACGCCGCGGTGCTCAGTCCTTCCCGCAGTTCCGGGGGAAGCTCCTCCGGGTCAGGGAAATCAGGCCCTGCCTCCAGCAGCAGTACCGACCGGTTGGGATCGTCCGACAGCCGGGTCGCCAGGGCGCAGCCCGAAGAACCTGCGCCCACAACGATAACGTCGTACTTCATGATGTCCTCCTTGGCGAGCCTTTCGGATGGAGGAATATCGGCGGGTCGCTGCCAAGTATAGCATCGAAAACCGGCCTTGAGCACAAGCCCCGCATCGTCTGAACTGTAAGCAGCTATCTCAAAACTTGACGCCGTACCCAATCCGTCATTCCCGCGCAGGCGGGAATCCATAGGCTTCAGTCAGAGACGAGTGGTCGTCAGTAAAATCAATCGGTTCTGAGGTAGTTTCTAAGCAGCCGGAAGCTCCGCCGGCCAGGGGTGGTGAGGAGGAACGACGTGAGGCGCACCCGTTTACCGTGGGCGGTTAGCTCAGATGGTTAGAGCGCCTGCTTTACACGCAGGAGGCCGGAGGTTCGAGTCCTCCACTGCCCGCCCGGAATTCGGGCCTGCTCCTCAGGTTGCCAATCACGTTAGATGTCGAACTCATGCGGGACGCATCCCAGGGACGAACCTCCTTTCGTCCATCCTGGTACGACAATTCCAACCAGGCTCGCCTGGCCTCCAACAAGGCTGCGAGAAAGTCACCGGGCCTTGGGGGTTCCAAGCTGATCGGGAGGGGACCGTACTGCATTCCCTTGGGGACTTGACGGGTTGTGGCCGACAATGGGCCAGCCGGCACGGTCGTGGGCTGGCCCCTGCGAGGAAGCGTTCCGGCTCAGGAGGTGAATCGAACAACTTCTGGATGCGCTGTGCCAGAAATTGCTCAACCACCTCCGGTTCCGGCTTAAAGCCGCACATGCGTTCAGTGGTTTCCGAGATCAAGTCAACCAACAATTCATCGGGGGTTTCGACGATCTGGTTCCAGGCGGCAACGATGGTTTTGCTGATAGTCTCGGTCCGCTGCTGGGACTCAACCAGAGCCTCGGCGTATCCAACCGCCTGGCCACTGCCCACCATTTCCGGAGAAAGATATTCCAGGAACCGGCGTTCCACGATGTCGGGTCCCTGGTCCTCCAGGTCGATGGTCAGGAACCTTCTCTGTTCCCAACTGCCCGCCTGCAGGGGCAGATAGAGCCACCAGGTCCTCCCGTTGGTCAACACGGCCAGGTTTACGCCTTCTTGAAAGCAATATTCCAGTAGCTGCTGCTGGTGTCTCTCCAGGTTCTCGCCGGGCCGCTTGACCTCTATGAACACGGCATCAGGGGTTCCTGGCCTGAGGGCGTAATCGACACGCCTGTTTCCGACGGTATATTCGGGCACTACCTGCGAGGTGTCGAATGTATCCCATCCGGCAACACTAAGCAGTCTGAGAACCACTCCCTGCTTGGTGGCGGATTCGTCCATGGAACCAAAGGATAAGGAAGCTTTGATTTGCTCGACTGCTCGGGAGATCATATCGGTATTCACCTGTTGCTGACGGGTAGTGAAATGGTGGGTACTGTTTTTGCCGGATGCGCCAATTAGAGACCACTTTCGTATGAATCCCGCATTTTTGCCCCCTGCGTTCCCCCGGAAATCTATGGAGTGGCCTCTGACGCGGTACACGAAAGGGTCGCAGATTATAGGAAAGCAGGGGCATCGCAAGTGGACTCCCGGTCCTGGACCATGCAGATGGGGCCGCGCGTTATGAAGTACCGTTGGCCAGTCATGAGGTGGCTGGAAACAGCCCTGACTACAGCAATGGCTGGAAATTGTCACCTGTTGTAGCTAAGGAGGTGGCTGGCCCGGTTTATTCACTCCTGGCAGAAAGCTATACTTCAGGCATTGCAGCCAAGGGTTGCTGCACAACAGGTAGAGTTACCGGGTTTCCGGTTTTCGCGGCGCTGTCACCGGCAGCCGGTCTTCCGGCCTCAACTCCCCCGCCTCCAAGCCCGAGACCCGGGCATAGCCGGCGGAGTATCCCTGCAGGTATTGCCGGTGCCATCGGTCTACCTGGTTGACCTCCCCGGGCGGTGGCCGGTAGGGCAACCCCGCCTGGGCGTCCAGATGGCCGTCTCTCAGTCCCGTCATAAACGGATCATGGTCTCCACCAGCCTGTTTCCCCACCAGCTTTGCCATGATTCCCCACCTTCTGACTCCAATATCCCTCTCCTCAATTCAGCCAAGATTCAGGTCATCCTTGCGCTCATGGAGAAAGTTGCGATTCCCGCTCTCAGATACAAAATGCTATTTTACCTAATTCTACCGAATAATACTTGCAGCTAATTCATCAGAAAATAGCGAAGCTCTTCGTGGTGTCCCTGGCGTCTTTTGCGCGCCCTGGGTCATCGTTGAGGCTCGCGTTCATCGGGCGTTCTTGTTGTTGGTTAGAGACTCAGAAAATTGCAAAACTCCCGGGCGCTGCCTGGTCTTCCGTGGCAGGGACCGGGTTGCTTGCGTTTATCGGACATTCCTGGTGGGTCTATGAGGCTGGCTGCCCGGCGGGTCCTGTTTCTAAACCAATACCAGGGTGGGATGTCCATAAGTGGCGGGCCGATGGCACCTGGGAGCGGGTTGAGGAGGCGCTGCGGAGCCAGGTCCGAGAGAGGGAAGGACGGGATGCTACCCCCAGCGCTGCCATCATTGACAGCCAGTCGGTGAAGACCACGGAAAGGGGGGCCTCGGGGCTACGACGCAGGCAAGCGCAGGCAAGCGCAGGCAAGAAGGTATCTGGGCGCAAACGCCACATCGTAGTGGATACGACCGGCCTGCTCTTGGCCGTAGTGGTACATGCGGCCAACATCCAGGACCGGGACGGCGCCAAGTTGGTGCTGAGCAAGTTGCTGGGCCGCTTCCCCAAGCTCCAGTTGATCTGGGCCGATGCCGCCTATGCGGGCCGACTGGTGGAGTGGGCTTGGGCTGCTGGGGGATGGGTATTGAGCGTGGTGCGGCGCAATCCAGACAGCCATCGCTTCGAGGTACTGCCTCGCCGGTGGGTAGTGGAGCGCACCTTGGCGTGGTTGAGCCGCTGCCGACGGCTCAGCAAGGATTTCGAGGAACTGCCGGAAACCAGCCAGGCATGGGTTCATATAGCGATGGTCCACCTGATGCTCAAGAGACTCAAACCAGCCTGACCCCTGTTTCTCACACACCCTCTGAGAATGCTTTCAGCATCGTCCCGGTGGTAACTGAAGCCGGTACGGGCCCTGATCCGCGACAGCAGCAGGTCAATGGAGATATAGCCCGTCAGCTTATCGCTGACAATCACCTGGTAGGCATTGCCAAGGAACTGGTCCCGCAACTCCTCCATTTGCGCCTGGAATTCCGCCTGGCTTAGACCGCCGTTGGTATCTGCAAGAGGCGGTGTTAAATTGCACCATAATTGCCGTTATAGCGCATGTTAATGAGGACAAGAATGGCGCTGCAGAACTCTCTCCTGCCAGCACCCCCGGACTCGACCGAAACCTTCCCGCCAGCATCGGCCAGAGACCTGACCAACACGGACATCCAGAGGGTCCAGGCCTTTTTGGCCCACAGCGTCTCCGAAAACACCCTGGCCATATACGCCTCTGCTTGGCGCGCCTTCCAGGCCTGGGCCCAGCTACACGTCGCCGCCCCAGATGGCTGCTTTCCTGGCACACTTGGCCGAGGACCGACGTCTCTCGGTGGTGACCATCCGGCTCCACAAGGCAAGCCCTGGCCGCCATGAACAAGGCCGCCGGTCATGACTACCCCACCGACAACGAGGAGGTGAGGCAGTTCCTGCAGAGCATCTCGCGGGCCAACGACAAGGCCCAGAAACAAGCAAAGCTGCTAACGGCCGAGGCCCTAGCAGCCGTCAGGGCCACCGCCGGCAACCGAGGCCCCTGGGAAAAGGGAAAGACAGGATCGGCTGAGCGGGCATCGTGGCGGGGACGGGTGGACATCGCACTCCTCTCAACCCTGAGAGACGGACTGCTCAGGCCCTCGGAAGCCGCGGCACCTGTCAAGGGCGGCGGAGCTTTCCTGCTGAGCCCGCAGCAGGCTTGGGGGGGAAAAGATGCCCCGGATCACTCGCCCCCAAGTCTATCGGGTGGTTCGTGAGGTGCTGCCTCGGGAGCAGTTCGGGCCGGAGGAGTTGCTGCTATGGCTGGAGGAGACGCAGCTACGCAACGAACGGGCCCGCCGTTCCCACCAGAGACGCCGCGCCGCCCGCCATACACGCAAGCTGGAGCCACCACCCTGAACCCGTCGTTGTAGTTCTAGCGGGTCGGGGGAACTGCGCGGCAGGTCCGCGATTGCACCGACAACCTGCCATCGGTTCCAGTCTGGAGCATCGTTGTCGCATTTGGTACGGCACGCGTTAGGCCCAAGTAGAGGTTCGCCGCCTCAGTAACGCCAGTCCGCGTGCGCGAGCGGTGCCTGATTCAGTTGGTCCCGGTACAAATTCCATTGAGGCAACGAGTGGTCCATTAGATCCCGGAAACGCTCGATTGTGGCTGCGTTCAATCAGGTGCGCCAATTCGTGCACCACGATGTATTCTGTACATACGGCGGTTTCTTGGCGAGTTCAAGATTCAGCCAGATCCGGCCAGCTTCGCTGTTGCAGGTACCCCATCGGGTTTTCATCTTTTTGATGCGGACTTCGGACGCCTGGACACCCAGATTTGGCTCCCATTTTTCGAGTAGCGCCGGTATCTGGCCGCGAAGCTGTTGACGGTACCATCGCTCCAGTATTTCCTCTCGTTTCTCTCGACCCGTTCCAGGGCGAACTCGCAACTCCATGGTCGTCCTGTTAGGTATGCGGATCCCATGTTGCCCGTCGTAT